ATATCAACCTGTTGTCTGTACTGTCATTTCCAAATACCTTCTCCCATTCTGTGGGTTGCCTCTTTGTTTTGTTGACTGTTTCCTTTGCTGTGCAGAAGCTTTTGATCTTGATGAAGTCCCAAAAGTTCATTTTGGCTTTTGTTTCCTTTGCCTTTAGAGACATGTCTTGAAAGAAGTTGCTGTGGCTGATATCGAAGAGGTTACTGCCTATCTTCTCCTCTAGGATTCTGATGGATTCCTGTCTCACGTTGAGTTCTTTTATACATTTTGAGTTTATCTTTGTGTACTGTGTAAGAGAATGGTCGAGTTTCATTCTTCTACATATAGCTGTCCAGTTTTCCCAGCACCATTTATTGAAGAGACTCTTTTTTCCACTGTATATTTTTTCCTGTTTTGTCGAAAATTATTTGACCGTAGAGTTGAGGGTCTATATCTGGAATCTCTACTCTGTTCCACTGGTCTATGTGTCTGTTTTTATGCCAGTACCATGCCGTCTTGGTGATCACAGCTTTGTAGTAAAGCTTTAAAGCAGGTAACGTGATGCCCCCAGTTTTATTTTTGTTTTTCAACATTTCCTTAATGATTCGGGTTCTCTTCTGGTTCCATACAAATTTTTTGATTATTTGCTCCATCTCTTCGAAGAATGCCAGTGGAATTTTGATTGGAATGGCATTAAAGGTATAGATTGCTCTAGGCAGTATAGACATTTTAACAATGTTTATTCTTCCAATCCAAGAGCATGGAATGGTCTTCCATCTTTTTGTGTCTTCTTCAATTTCTTTCATGAGTGTTCTGTAGTTCCTCGAGTACAGATCCTTTACCTCTTTGGTTAGGTTTATTCCCAGGTATCTTATGGTTCTTGGTGCTATAGTAAATGGAATCGATTCTCTATTTACCCCAAAGATACAGATGTAGTGAAAAGAAGGGCCATCCGTACCCCAATGTTCATAGCAGCAATGGCCACGGTTGCCAAACTGTGGAAAGAACCAAATGCCCTTCAATGCACGAATGGATAAGGAAGATGTGGTCCATATACACTATGGATTAGTATCCCTCCATCAGAAAGGATGAATACCCAACTTTTGTAGCAACATGGACTGGACTGGAAGAGATTATGCTAAGTGAAATAAGTCAAGCAGAGAGAGTCAATTATCATATGGTTTCACTTATTTGTGGAGCATAACAAATAGCATGGAGGACATGGGGAGTTAGGCAAAGGGAAGTGGGGGGAAATTGGAAGTGGAGGTGAACAATGAGAGACTATGAACTCTGAAAAACAATCTGAAGGGTTTGAAGAGGTTGGAGGGTGGGAGGTTGGGGGAACCAGGTGGTGGGTATTAGAGAGGGCACGGATTGCATGGAGCACTGGGTGTGGTACAAAAACAATGAATACTGTTATGCTGAAAATAAATTTTAAAAATGATTTAAAAAAAACAGTGATTCCTGATGCAGGCAGCAACACGACTGTATCCACAAGGACTGATTCTGGGGCAAAGATTCTGGGGCAAAGAAAATACATAGAGTACAATGACCCATTTATGAATTCTACAAAATTAAAACTAGTATAAGGTGACATAAGGAAGAACAATAGTTATGTGGGGACAGGATAAACAACGGATAGGGAAGGAGGAATTCCAGGAGTAATGCTGAAAATTTTAGGGAGAACTGGTACACTCACTGTCAATAATGTTGACTGTGACACCTGTATTTATCATATCACACACTCCGTATGTGGGCCGTTCATCTTGTGTCGAATATACACATCAAATTTATTATAGGCAATAACAAATGTGATTCTGGAGGAAAGCAAAGAGAATGGAATGTTACAGATATGAAAATACACCTACACGATACTGATTTACTCTGTATTTACAGTAAACTATAAAGTAAGGAAAATCAATCCATCCCCATTAGAGGAGGGGTTCCACATTCCTCATAGCCTGACACTCTGCCCTGCAGATGATTTGGGGTGGAGGGCAGCAGCTTCTATGGGGGTAGCACTGACCAAGATCCTGGGGTCAATCTCACCCCATATGTGTTCATGGACACCTTACAAACACAAGTATACACACTGGAAATTTATATAATGAAAAACTTTTTTTTTCAAAATCTGTCATTAGCACTAACTAGATTAAAGGCATTCCAACAGCTTGGGTCACTGCCTCTCTGTAAGAATAGATCCCCAAGCTGAATATATAGCCTGAGGACATGCAAATAGGGCATCCCCCCTGCTGATTTAACCAGTGCAGACAAGATCCTGCAGCTGGGAGAGGAGCCCCAGGCCCAGGATACCCAGGTATTCATTCAGTGATGAGGACAGAATACAGACAACTTACCATGGGTTTTCCTTGTTGCTCTTTTAAAAGGTAATTTATGGAGAAAAAAATTGAGTATGTGAGTGGATATGAGTGAGAGAAACACTGGATGTGAGACAGTTTCCTGACTGAGATATCCTGTGTCTGTAGGTGTCCAGTGTGAGGTGCAGCTAATGGAGTCAGGGGGAGACCTGGTGAAGCCTGGGGCATACCTGAGGCTCTCCTGTGCAGCGTCTGGATTCACCTTCAGTAGCTACAAGATGAACTGGTTCCGCCAAGTTCCAGGGAAGGGCCTGCAGTGTGTCACATGGATTAGATATGATGGAAGTAGCACAAGCTACAAAGACTCTGTGAAGGGTCAATTCACTATCTCCAGAGACAACAGCAAGAACACACTGTATCTGCAGATGAACAGCCTGAGAGCAGAGGACACAGCCGTGTATTATTGTGTGAAAGACACAGTGAGGGGCCCTCAGTGTGAGCCAGGACAGAAACCTCCCTGTTAACACAGGATGTGCTGAGCTGCAGGGGCACTCAGGGCAGCAGAGAGTGCTCAGGATCCACAGCAGAGATCAGACCCAGGAGCAGGTGCAGTGGGGTTGGGCTTTTTTGAGATCAGGGATTTCCTCTCTAGACTCTCAGCTGTCCACAGGGATATTTAATATTTTTTTCTTTCATTTGTAATACCACATCTTCTCCATGAAGCCAACCACAAGAATATAACTTTGCCTATGAATTACCAATTACCAATGAATTACAAATACCTCCATGTATGTCACCTGAACCTTATATAGTCCCAGCTACTCTCTCTGTTCATTAGAGGACCACCCAGCCCAGTGTGCAAACTTGTCAAAACCAGTGTAAAGTGCATGCTGGATATGAGCCTACGGAGGCATCAACAATACAAAGCAAGAGAATTAACAGCCCTGGTGCAGTCTCAATCTTGAACTATACTCAGAGTATCAATGTTAATGACAACGTGGGAAAGAAGAGGAAATGTGCACCAGGATGTTGTGGGGGTACAGAGTCTGAAGATCACACACACACACACAAACACACCCCAAAGTGAATGTAAAACTATTTTAAATTTTATTTTATTTTTTCAGAGTTCCAAGATTCATTGTTTATGCACCACGCCCAGTGCTCCATACAATGCATGCCCTCCTTAACACCGACCACCAGACTCATCCATCCCTGCACCCACTCCCTTCCAAAATACTCAGTTTGTTTCTCAGAGTTCACACATTCTCAGGATTCATCTCTCCCTTTGATTTACCCCAATTCACTTTTCCTTTCCTTCTCCAAATGTCATCTGTGTTATTCCTAATGTTCCACAAGTAAGTGAAACCACATGGTAATTGACTCTCTCTGCTTGACTTATTTCACTCAGCATAATCTCCTCCAGTGCCGCCCATGTTGCTACAAAAGTTGGATATTCATCCTTTCTGATGGAAGCATAATACTCCATTGTATATACGGAATTATATCTTCTTTATCTATTAGCCATTGAAGGGCATCTTGGTGCTTTCCACAGTTCGTTGACTGTGGACATTCCTGTTATGAACACTGGGGTACAAATGGCCCTTCTTTTGCTACATCTTTATCTTTGGGGTTAATATTCAGTAGTGCGATTGCAGGGTCATAGGGAAGTTCTATTTTTAATTTCTTGAGGAATCTCCACACTGTTCTCCAAAGAGGCTGCACCAACTTTCATTTCCACCAACAGTGTAAGAGGGTTCCCCTTTCTCCACATCCTCTCCAACACATGTTGTTTCTTGTCTTGTTAATTTTGGCCATTCTAACTGGTATAAGGTGGTATCTCAATGTGGTTCTCATTTGAATCTCCCCGATAGCTAATGAGGATGAACATTTTTCATGTGTCTGATAGCCATTTGTATGTTTTCTTTGGGGAAGTGTCTCTACCTGTCTTCTGCCCATTTTTTTTAAATGATTATCTGTTTTTGGGGTGTTGGGTTTGAGTAGTCCTTTATAGATCTTGGGTATAAACTCTTTTTCTGTTATGTATTTTGTGAATATCTTCTCCAATTCTGTGGTTTCCCTCTTTGTTTTGTTGACTGTTTTCTTTACTGTGCAGAAGCTTTTGATCTTGATGAAGTCCCAAAAGTTCATTTTCACTTTTGTTTCCTTTGCTTTTGGAGACTTTGTGAAAGGAGTTGCTGTGCCCAATGTCAAAGAGGTTACTGCCCATGTTCTCCTCTAGGATTTTCATAGATTCCTGCACACATTGACGTCTTTTATCCATTCTGAGCTTATCTATGTGTATGGTGCAAGAGAATGGTTGAGTTTCATTCTTCTACACATAGCTGTCCAATTTTCCCAGCACCATTTATTGAAGAGATTGTCTTTTTTCCACTGTATATTTTTTCCTGTTTTGTCAAAGATTATTTGACCATAGAGTTGAGGGTCCATATATGGGCTCTCTACTCTGTTCCACTGGTCTATGTGTCTGTTTTTGTGCCAGTCTCATGCTGTCTTGGTGATGACAGCTTTGTAGTAAAGCTTGAAATCAGGCAACGTGATGCTCCCAGCTTTGTTTTCCTTTTTCAACATTTCCTTTTTGAGTCAGGATATTTTCTGTTTCTACGTAAATTTTTGGATTATTATTTCCATCACTTTGAAAAATGTTGATGGTATTTAGATCAGGATGGCATTGAAAGTATAAGTTGCTCTTGACTGCATATTATGACATAGATATATTATATGACATAGATATATTAATGATATTTATTCTTCTGAACCATGAGCATGAAATGTTTTTCTATCTTTTTCTGTCTTCTCCAGTTTCTTTCATAAGTGTTCTGTAGTTCCTTTAGTACAGTTCCTTTACTTCTTTTGTCAGGTTTATACCAATGTATCTTATGATTTTTGGTGCTATTGTAAATGGAATCGATTCTCTAATTTCTTTTCCCACGGGTTCATTGTTAGTTTATAAAAAAGCAACTGATTTCTGTGTATTGAGTTTGTATCCAGCTACATTACTGAATTGTTCTATGAGTTCTAGCAGTTTGGGGGTGGAGTCTTTTGGGTTTTCCACATAAAGTATCATGTCATCTGCAAAAAGAGAGAGCTTAACTCTTTGACCATATATTTATTTCTTTTTGTTCCCTGATTGCTGTTGCTAGACTTCTAGTACTATGTTGAACAGTAGTGGTGAGAGAGGGCAACCTTGTCATGTTCCTGATCTTAAGGGGAAAGTTCTCAGCTTTTCCCCACTGAGGATGACATTCTCTGTGGGTTTTTCAGAGATGGAATTTATGAAATTGAAGAACGTTCCCTCTATCCCTACACTCTAAAGAGTTTTACTCAGGAAAGGATGCTGTGTTTTACAGACTGCTATTTCTGCATCAATTGACAGGAGCATGTAGTTTTTCTCTCCTCTCTTACTAATTTTTTCTATCACATTGGCTGATTTGCAAGTGTCGAATGGATCTTGCAGCTTAGAGAAAATCCCACCTGGTTGTCATGGATAATCCTTTTAATGTACTATTGTATGTTACTAACTAGGATCTTGTTGAGAATCTTGGCATCTATATTCATTAGGGATATTGATCTGAAATTCCCCCTTTATGGGGTCTTTGCCTGGTTTTGGACTCAAGGTAATGCTGGCCTCATAGAATGAGTCTGGAACTTTTTCATCTGTTTCTATTTTTTTTAAATGTTCAGGAGAATAGGTATTATTTCTTCTTTGAATATTTGGTAGAATTCCCCACAGAAAACAGCATGTCCTGGGCTCCTATTTTTGGGAGGTTTATGATCATTGCTGCAATCTTGTTACTGGTTATTGATCTATTCATGTTGTCAATTTTTTCCTGCTTCTGTCTTGGAATTTTATAGGTTGCAGGAATGCAACCATTTCTTCTAGGTTGCTTAACTTATTGACATATAGCTGATGATAATAATTTCTGATGATTGTTTCTATTTCCTTCGTGTTACTCATTATCTCTCACCTTTCATTCATAATGTAATAATTTGGGTCTTTCTCTTTTCCTTTGGATAAGTCTGGCCAGTGTTTTATTTATCTTATTAATTCTTTCAATGAACCAGCTTCTACTTTCTTTGATATGTTCTACTGTATTTCTGGTTTCCAGTTCATTGATCTCTGCTCTAATCTTAATTGTTCCCCTTCCAGTGCATAGGCTAGACTTAAATTGTTGTTGATTCTCCAGTTCCTCAAGGTGTAAACGTAGTTGGTGTATTTATAATTTTTCTTTTCTTTACTTTTCTTTTCTTTTTCTTTTTCTTTTTTTTTTGAGTGAGGCTTAGATGGCTATGTATTTCCCCCTTAGGACCACCTTTGCCATGTCCCATAGGTTTTGGACTAATGTGTTTTCATTCTCATTGGTTTCCATGAGTTGTTTAAGTTCTTCTTTGACTTCCTGGTTGATCCAAACATTCTTGAGTAGGACGGTCTTTAGCTTCCAAGATTTTGAATTATTTCCAAACTTTTTCTTGTGATTGAGCTCCTTTTAAAGCTTTATGGTCTGAGAATATTCAGGGAGTAATCTCAGTCTTTTGGTATCCGTTGAGACCTGAACTGTGACCCAGTATGTGGTCTATTCTGGAGAAACATCCATGAGTGTTTGAGAAAAATGAATATTCTGTTGTTTTGGGGTGGAATGTTCTGTATATATCTATAAGGTCCAACTGGTCTAATGGGTCATTCAAAGATCTTGTTTGTTGATTTTCTGATTAGATGATGAGTCTATTGTTGATACTGGGGTGTTGAAGTCTCATACAAATACGGTATTACTAACAATATGTCTTTCTGTTGTTGTTAACAGTTGGCTTATGTTGTTGACTGCTCCCATAATGGGGGTATAGATATTTACAATTGTTAGATCTTCTTGGTGATTAGACACTTTTAGCACAATGTAGTGTCCCTCTGCATCTCTTATTACAGTCTAGCTTAAAATCTAATTCATCTGATATGAGAAGGGCTACCCCAGCTTTCTTTGCAGTCATTGTCATGAAAGATGGCTCTCCGTCCCTTCACTTTCAGTCTGGATGTATGTTTAGGTTCAGAATGAGTCTCTTGTAGACAGCATGCGGATGGGTTCCATCTTCTTATCCAATCTGCAACCCTGTGCCATTTCATGGGAGAATTTAGGACGTTCATGTTGAGGGTGATTATTGAAAGATATGATTTTATTGTCATCATTTTGCTTGCGAAGACCTTGTATCCACAAATTGTCTCTGTAAATTTCTGTTCTATAACACTCTTGGCATCTTTCTCATATTATGGACCCCACCCCCCTTAATATTCCTGTAGTTCTGGCTTAGTGGTTACATATTTTTACAGTCTCTGTCAGTCTTGGAAGTTCCTTGATGCTCCATCCATACTAGGTGAGAACCTTGCCAGATAAAGTATTCTTGGCTGCATATTCTTCACATTTATGCCCTTAATATATCCTACCAGCCCTTTCTGGCTTGTCAGGACTCTGTGGACACAGACCTGTCCACATCGACCAGTGGAACAGAGTAGAGAGCTCAGATATGGACCCTCAACTCTATGGTGAAATAATCGTCAACAAAACAGGAAAAAATATACAGTGGAAAAGAGACAGTCTCCTCAATAAGTGGTGCTGGGAAAACTGGACAGCTATATGTAGAAGAATGAAACTCGACCATTCTCTTACACCGTACACAAAGATAAACTCAACATGGATAAAAGACCTCAATGTGAGACAGGAATCCTAGAGGAGAACATAGGCAGTAATCTCTTCAATATCAGCCACAGCAACTGCTTTCAAGGTATGTCTCCAAAGGCAAAGGAAACAAAAGCCAAAATAAACTTTTGGGACTTCATCAAAATCAAAATCTTCTGCACAGCAAAGGAAACAGTCAACAAAACAAAGAGGCAACCCTCGGAATGGGAGAGATATTTGCAAATGACAGTACAGGCAAAA